CTTCCCACAATGTCCGTTTGGATCAAAATAAGGGAGATAAATACTAAAAGAAATAAAAACGAAAAAATTAAAACAAACTTACCTTTAGGATGAATCTGACTGCAATCACATTTCAAAGATCGGTTGTGGAAAGTCCCATCATGTGTAGCCGTTGCCCAAAAACAAAAGAAGCATCGTAAAAAAAAAAAAGAAAAAAAAAAAAAAAAAAAAAAAAAAAAAAAAAAAACGAAACTAACCTACTTACCTGACCAGATTCTGGGCTGCCTGTTGCTGCCTCCCTTTTCACGAGCCATCTGACGTTCTCCCCCCTTTCTTTTTCTTTGCCCCCCCTTTTCTCGAACACAACTTGAAGGCCTTGCCCCACTACTCTCTAAGGGGAGGGAGGCCCAGAGACATGTATTCCATTGCATCCAGCGACCTAGCTCAGTTGGTAAGAAACGCAAGTAGCATTATGAAGGGCTTATGTTCAATCCTCATTGGCCTCCTGCACGTTCTTGGGAAAGCTTGGCGCCCGCCATCTAGAGATAGGTTGTTGGTCCCCCTGAATGGAATTGAGGTGAGATTGCTCATGTTCATAAGGGGAGGGGACCGGAGGGAAGGCACAACGATTGACCCATCGAAGAAGCTCGGTCCTAATGTTACTGGCTGACACCTGGACGATATCGCCCACCTGCTGGTGGGTGCAACTTCTGCATGTTCTCTCGTTGGAGGCTTGAGCATGGATGTGGCTGCTACGGGGCTCCCCGTAATACTATATTGACATTAGAAAAGGGCATGAAAGGCCGTCCTATCTATATTCGATAGGCAAAAGTGGTTGAGCTTAAAATAATTAACCTTAAAAAAAAAAAAAAAAAAAAAAAAAACGTGTATTCGATTCCTTGTGAAATCATAACTCCAAATTTATGTGTGTTGCGCGGCGCTCCATCTGCGCGGCTGAAAGCACCACCGTTATTCTGCCTCAGCTCCGATCCAAAAGGAGATGGCCCAATGACCTAGGCACATTTCAATCCCAGAACCTCATACATACTGGGAAACATGTGCTGAAACCTACTGGGCTAGCGCACACTCCGTCAAAAGAGGGTGTAGTGTTTGCAGGTCATGAGTCTCCCCACCTCTCCCTCTCTTTTCCCCCCCTGCCCCCCCACCTCTCTCTCTCTCTCCACATCCACATGCGTGGTGGATACCTATGGGCGGGTTGTGGCCGTAGGTGGAAATACATCCGTCGATCGTCACATGGCGGGATGACACACAACGATCCCCGCTGCCCTCCAGGCTGCACCTCCACGCCTTGCGTGGTAAGTCAGTTGGTACACCCCTGAACTGTTGAAATGCAGACTCAAGTTCGAATCCAGACTTCAGATGAAGAGAACATCATTCTTTTCTCCTTTTTTCCCATTATAGTATTACGGATAACCCCGGAGCAGCCATATCCGTGCTCATGTGCCAGATTTTGGAGGATGTGGGCGGCGACCAGGTTTCCCGATGTGGGAAGAGGGAAGAAAGCAAGAAAGAAATCCCTGTATATTTTCATGCTTAGGGGGCAAATCTGTTCTGTTGGTCTTTTATTTTTTCTTTTTATGCCTTTGGAGAGTGTGGTGGGCGTCGGGGAGGTGGGCAAAGCGAGAAAGAAGGATGGGTTGGGGCCACCTATGGGGATCCAGTTAACGCAAAGAGTGAGCATTTTGGCAGTACTTGCGCCCCCCTTTTCATAGTCCCCCATGCATCCCCTCTAATGGCTAGAAGGAGACAACAAAGCTATGTTCGCAGGGGTGGGCTGTATAAGCCTTATGAGTAATGGTAGGTAGGTAGTGAAGGTGAATTGAAAGAATTTGAAAGATGAGGGCATACTCAGCTTCTGATCCGACAGTGGCTAAGTTAGGTAATTTTTGTGAAAAAGTCGGACCCCATCACTTTTCGAGGTCACTTGGTGCGGCGTTTTGTTAGGGGTACGCTTTCGGGTTGTGTATGTGGCGCGTAGCCCATGATGAACGACCCAAAGACACTACAAAAATGGAAAGCTCAAGGACCCCTATCCCTACTGAGAAAGTTGCCGTGAAAATGTGTTGGCCTTTTTTATGTCCACCCTTCCTCAACAGGTACGTCTGTGTCACCCACATCGGGAGGCCAGGTCTTACAACCACCACAGGAACATCCGTTTCCGTAGAAGCCCAAAGAAACCCGCCGGGGTAGTTGGGAAAAACCCACGGAACCCGCCTCTGTGGGGCCCCAGTTTGCTTTTCCGCCCCATCTGACCAGTTGCCTTCTTTTTAGCTAGGTAGCATCGGTTATCTGGCCGGATAATCTGGTCGGATTATCTGGCCGGATGATCGGGGGGTGGGATCATCCGAAAATCCGGATGATTAAAAAAAAGGCCTAAAAAAAAACAAAAAAAAAATGATATTCCGCATGCAAAATACAATAGAACTACGTTCCTATTACATGAAAAGCTTGATAGGGCCTGGAAGGGTTCAAAGGGGATAAGATAGGGAATAAAGGGGTTTAGAGGGGGGATGCTTAATTCATTCTATAATTTTTTATCTAAATATTATTTTCTTGTTCTGTTTTATTTTTTATCTTCATATCTATTGAGTAATCAAAGATGACCTCAAGCCAAAAGTTGTTCATATCATTGATATGAACAACATTTTTTTTTTCCATATTTTCATCCGGATTGAAAATTCCGGATAAAATTGGTCTGCCGGATATCCGGATTTGCTACTTGGTTTTTTAGGGACTTTCTTGTTTTTTCTCTTTTTATATAATGTCGGATCAGCGCCTCACACTGGGACCTATAATCTCAAATTCCACCCCAAAAGGTTACAGCCAGTCACACAGATTTGCCAAAGTCCTAAATGTACTATTGGCGTGCCCATTTGTCAGCAACCTGGGTAGCAGCGGGGCAAGGGAATTTTTAAGCATTTTCGCTGAAATTGGTGAGAATTCTTTCACAAAAGTTCTTGCACAGTTTGTGGATGGCGTCGTGTGACTATCAAAGTACCAAATCGCCATTTCTCCAGACGGCCACAACCTTGTCCCATCCGAAAAGGTACAGCAGTACAACCCGAACCATGCCCAAAACCTCAAATCCGCCTTTCCCAAATCTGCAACATATTGTGCGGATTTTTTTATTTATTTTTAAGTTGGCAAAGACTAAGGGTCTGATCCCACCACTACACTACCGCCCAGTTACAACGTGGTTTTAAGATCCCACCACTTTCCGACATCATCGCGACCGCCAAAATATTTTGCTTCAATTTCGTTTGGGTGTGTCGTGGCAGCACGCCCACCAAGGGCGCAAACGTAGTTACTACAACTTTTTTGAAGACCGTGAGGACTTCATGGCAGCGAAAAAGAGGGAGCATTTTTTTTTTTTTTTTTTTTTTTTTTTTTCTCTCGTTTGTCCGTTTGCAGCATCAGGAATGGCCGTGGACCACAGTGTTGTGTGACATTTCGTTTGGCGGAGTCCGTAACAGCCCATGAAGAACCGCCGCCATTCCAGGAAAACCACCGAAGAAGTCGCCCTCGTCGGATCCAGTTTCTCTTTTTTGTCCCGTCACGACCGTTGACATCTTTGTAGTGTTTTTTCGCGTCTACAGTCGTAGTGTAGTGGTGGGATCAAACCCTAAGGGCCTCGTTCCACTATTCGCAATCCGCAATGCGTGGCGGGCGTGCCTTCGTTCCATCACATCGCCAATCGCCACAAAAAGAGAATAGTCAGAATTTACGAGCAGATGTATTTGGCGGCCGGTGGCCAAGGCCTCTAGTTTCCCCTGCCTGTGACGGACTTTCGTGGAGGGCGGTATGTGCACCTCTCCATGGAACTCCTCGAGTGGCGCCCGCCTCTGACAGTGACAACCTGACGCTCGGTCTCTATTGTCCCGTAGTGTTGGCGAATTTCTGCCGTGCATATCAGTTTTTTCCCAGTCTCCTTTGGTTCCAGGACCTTCAAATCTTCTCGGACCGTGAGGTCGCGGACCACCCCAACCAGGCCCGGGCTGGTCCCACTTCGTAAACGTGGCGAAACGGCCACACCGTTCCATTGCCTCGCCATCCGCCGCAGTCCGCTGAGGAAGTGGAACCACGAGCCGTTTTCCGCCACAATTTACTGGTTTGGAGCATCGCAGCGCCACTATTTGGCGGATGGAGAGTAGTGGAACGAGGCCCTTTTTTTTTTTTTTTTTTTCTAACTTTTCTTTTCAGTTCCTCTGCTCAGTTTTCATTTTCACGCATGCACACCCATTTCACCAATGGATAGGTGGAAGTACGAACGCAAGAAACGATGATGCTGATTTTGCGGATTTGGGGTAGCAGTGTGAGTATACCCTGAGAAAGGGAATAAAAAAGAAACCGAGAACGAATCTGCCGTTAGACCATTCGAACTTTTCAACAGTTCAGGGGCGTACCAATTGAGCTACCGTAGGCCCGTTGGTCGTGTGTTTTATGTTTCGGCCTACCTTCTCCTTCGGATGTGGTCGGTTTCTACGGCTCAGCTGTGGATGCGCTTTGGCTCCGCGACAGCTTCGGTACACGTTGGGGTTCGACCCCGTCTAGCTTTATGCTCCCGCTGAGCTCGGCCTCGCTCCGCTACTCACCACATGCACAAAAGACAAAAACTATGGCGGCGTATCTTTCCACGTTCTAGCGGAAGATTCATTCTGCCTTTGCACATTTGGTGTGTGGTGGAGCTAGGTCCTTTGTTTTCGGCTGCAGTCACGTTCGGCTTAGCTCCGGCTTCGCTTCGACTACGCGACAGCTCACATCGCCGTTGTCTTCGACTTCCCCTTCGCCCCGTCTTAGGGCCAGGTTCCACCAGCGAAGCGGATGGGATTAAGCGCCTGAATCTGGATGGTTTTGGGAAGAGATTCAGAAAAAAAGCAGTTAAATCTCGATTTTCTGCACCTGTGCTCAACCACGTCCAGATTCAGGCATTCGACCCGACGATCCTGTTTGCACTGGGACCTCGCCCTAAGCTTCGGGTTCGATTTAATCGAGGGTAACCTCGAAATTCAGATTGCTGTCCGTTCACGTCGGCTTCGACGGAGGTAGGTGGTAGGTCGGAAATGTCGGTGGGGACGGCGATGGCGGCGCAGACGGCGGGGCTTTGCGGGATCTGCAGATCGGCTAGCTATGGCGGCGGCTGCGGCTCTGGCAAGCAACAATGTGACGTCGGCGATGGCGGTGGCGGGAAAACTTTCGTTTGCGGAGGCGCGTGGTCCTCGTCGACGAAAGTGCGGTCAGCACCATCATCCTCGCCTGCGATCTCTTCTCTCTCTGTAGTAGGTTATGATGAGGCAATGTCGAAGGGCGGGAGTTCGATCTGCCGATCTGTGGATCGAAGGGACATCTCGACGGTCAGGAGTTGTCCTTCACTGTGGACGGGTGGAGCGACACGTGGCTGCGGGATGCTGGCGGGGTGTGGAGCCGGGACCGCAAGGCGACGACGGGTGACTTTTGGCGTTAAAGAGCGGGCGACTGGAGAGCTTGCAGCAGGGGTAGGGAACAGGAGATGGCGAAGGAGGTGTGCGCGCAGGGAGCAGAAGCAGGAGGACGAAGATTTAGGAACTGCAGCAAGAGCGATGGGAAAGACGACACGCGAGCAGCGAAGAGAGAGACGACGCGAGGAAAACCCAAGACCTCAGCCGCCAGATTATCCAGAATGGGCACAGTACGTACATTCTCTCTCTCACTCTCTCTCTCTGTGCATAAACTCGGTCACTATTGCGAGGAATCTGTCTTTCCATCTATCCATCCATTCATCAGGCATGATACAAAAGAATGCCCATTCATCTATCCATCTATACGTCCATCCATCTATCCATCTATCCATTCTATCCACATATCTTTCCATCTATCTGTCCACCTGTCCTTCTATCTATCTATCTATCTATCTATCTATCTATGTATCTATTTATCTATTTATCTATGTTTTGTATCTATCTATCTACCTATGTATGTATGTATGTATGTATGTATGTATGTATGTATGTATGAATGTATTGTATGTATGTATGTATGTATGTATGTATGTATGTATGTATGTGTCTAATATCTATCTATCTAGCGATTTATCTATCTATCTATCTGTCAACCTATCTCTCTCTCTGTCTATCTATGTCATCTATCTGTGTCTCGATCCATTGATCTGTACATCCATCGATCGATCCTCAATTAGTCTGATGTTCCCCTTCTGCTTCCTCTTGGAACTAATCGCTTGATGCGGTGGTTATTTGCCATCAGCTGTATAGTGTGTAGCCTGCGCCTTTACATTGTCCATGTTTGCCGTCTTCCTCCCCACTTTCCTCCGTATGCTCCCTCAAGGAACTCATGGCAGCTTCCCTACCGCACCACGAACGCGGATCGAGAAGATCTGCGCTGGCGATCGCCTTGCCTTTGTGGTCATCGCTCATTACTCTCTCCCTCCCTCCCTCCGTCCTTCCCTCCCTTCCTCCCTCCTCCCTCCCCCCTCCCCCCCCCCCCCCCCCCCCCCCCCCCCCCCCCCCCCCCCCCCCCCCCCCCCCCCCCCCCCCCCCCCCCCCCCCTCCCTCCCGCCGTCCCTCCCTCTCTCTGTTGGTCCATTGCTCCATCTGTGGCGCCGCCGATCGGGAGCCAGGAACCTGTCGAAGGTTTGCATTTGTCGATCGGGATCGGGACTTGGGCACACGAAGGCAGACGCCAAGGAACGTGACAGACATCGAAAGAGATAAGGAAGAGCTGTGAAATCAATTGATGGGGAAGGGGGCGGGGGGAGGAGGGTAGAGCACGTGTGAAAAGGCGGGAAAAAGAGGGGAAGAAGGAGGATGAAGGAAGGGGATGTTTGAAATCCGGACCGTTTTTCTGAGGAAACGGTGGGTGGCCTGGGAGTGGCAATCCCGGAAAAGTGAGAATGATTGGACCTATCAATGGGTTGAGATTTCATAGGCTACATGGTTTGTATGACTCTGTTGATGATGAAGATCGAACGGTCATCAGTGGAAGGATTTCTCTGACTTCACGTGGCCAATGATCTGGGCGAACAAGTTGTAAGTCAGGGTGGCTGGGTGATGGGGTGGGTGGTTGAACGGCTATTTGACATATGGAGCTGGTTGATTGAGTGGCTGAATGAATGGGGATATTGCGGCATGTGTAATTGGTAGATTGGGTGGGTGATTGGGTGGGTAATTTGGGTGGTCGATTGGGTGATGGGATGGTTGATTGGGTGGTTGATTGGGTGGTTGATTTGGGTGGGTGATTTGGTGGTTGATTGGGTGGTTGATTGGAAGTCCGGGAGGTGGGTAAAAACGTAATAGTGTGCGAAGGGAGGAGAAACGAAAAAGGGAAACGGAGTCACAAGGGATATGAAATCTCTGAGGTCTTTTCCTGGCCTCTTTGCTCATTAGTATATTGTTGTTATATTATTGAAAAAAAAAGAAGAAAAGGAATGTTCTTGAAATGCCATGGCTCTCTTCATTTAGCCCCCCCCTCAAAGCACTAGTCGGTAATCAATGTGCGGTTGAATTGCGACTATGTGCAAATCGAATGCTCTGTGCGGTTGAATTGTGATTATGTACAGACCGGATGCTCTCTACGGTTGAATTGCGACCATGTACGGACCGGATGCTCTGTGCGGTTGAATTGCGACCATGTACAGAAGGGATTCTTTGCTGGGAGCCAGAAGGTCTAGAGAAAGAGGGTGCGGCTGAATTGCGACCATGTACAGACCGGATGCTCTGTGCGGTTGAATTGCGACCATGTACAGAAGGGATTCTTTGCTGGGAGCCAGAAGCTCTAGAGAAAGGGGGAGAAAGGCGGAGGGCGGGGGGGGAGGGGGGGGTGGCCTCTCGACTCTCTGGGCAATCAATCGGCTTCTCGATTATCTAATCTTGTATGGTTAATCAAAGGGCACAAGACTGTGATGGAAACGATTAAACAAGATAAAGTACTTCGGTTAGAGACCATTAGACCATTTTGGTAATTATCTTGACAAAAGATAGTTCTTTTCTCTTTTCTTTGATTTGGTGATTACCTTGAAAAAGATAGTTTTTTTTTCTTAATAATGAAAAAGATAGTTCTTTTGTCTTTTGTTTGATTCTGTGATAAAGCAAAACACTAAGATGTGATTGTTTTCAGAAATTTCAGAAGTTATTTTCTTAGATTATATGGATGATACTGTCATGATAGTACGACGAATATATATGTTTCTATTATTAAAAAATCAGGTCAGTTTTTTTCTCCTTCTTTCCTTAAACCAATTGGACCGTTTCTCGATTTATGCGTGTCAACCTTGCTCAGGGGCCATGCTAATTACTCTTCTCTCTATCGTTCCAATGTTAACGGATGTCTTGAAGGACATCAGTATGGTGTTTTGTTTGGGCTACGCTAGAGGACATTGTCTGAGGATTGATTACTTTTTGAAAAGTCGGACTTTGGTAGCATCTCTATTACCCCAGGGAGGTACGGGACACACAAATGGGATCCTTACTTAGTCGCTGAGACTTCATTTATTTGGGGGGGGAGGACGAAATTGTGAGTGTAGACTTGGTTTTCTCCGGTCAGGTTGAGCGGCAGTGGGTCGAGGCAGTGGTCATTTCGCGGCCGTGCAGTGCCTCTAGTGATAGCCGCGTGTGTGTTTCGCGGGTGTGACAGATGTTTCTGGAGTGATTGTCTGGCCGTGACAGACATTCCTCTGTTTCGTGGGTGTTTTGCTGGCTTATGATTCATGGGGTGGAGTGAACTCACAGTCTGTAGAGTTTTCCGTCTGCTGTGGGTGGGTGATAGTCTGCTTTGGTTTTCGTCACAGGTAACCTTGAGAGGGCAGTGGTTGGTGGTCCCCACCTCCTCAGAGGGGTATCAGTGGTGGTGCTGCAGTTGTTGATGCTTAAGGTGGATTATCACTTACAGTATCATCCGTTAGGGGACTCTGCAGACTATAGAGGGCTCAGACTCCTGATGAGTGGGTGAATCATGAACGAAACAGTCTGTCACAGCCCTTCATTTGTTGTGCTCTTCTCCCTCTCTGCCTACGGTTTACCGGGCAGTTCTCGATGACGATATGTATACATATTGATGACATTCGTCAACATGATCTTCAAGCCACTCAGCAATACGCCTTCACTTGTTGCCTCATTGACGATGTTCTTTCATGGGGGCAATTACCTCCTCCTCCACAGCACTATGGGCTTGAGTGGAAGGAAACTACAGTGACAAATGGCTTGCGTACCTTTTTAGGTATGCATTTATGGGTCCGTTTTGATGGGTCCGTTCAGATGGCTCGCTTCGCATGAGCGTGTTTGATAAAGCGGGTGCTTGGGATTTCCCTGTCATTCGTTATCCAAGTGCGACCTCCAACATCCCTTCCCGTCAACCAGCAGGTGTGTTCACTGGACAATTGACTAGATTTGAACAGATCTGCGACAATTGGCAGGACTTTCGAACTGCGGCAGCAACACTTAGTCGTCGAATGCTTTCTCGTGGGCATTTCCCACCAACCCTTGCTAAGGGGTGGACCTGCTGCATGTGCTCCCGCCAACGTCGCTATCCTAGGCATGTGATGCGCCTCTCAGTGGCTGGTTCCGACACATGCTGTGATGGCCCCTGTGTCATCCACTTTCTTCCTTGCCTCCACGTCGCTGTTGTCCTGGTCCTGCTTGTTCATCTGCTGCTAGTACAGTTTCCACTGCTACGGATTCCACTGTTGCGGTTTCCACTGCTGTGGCTTCCACTGCTGCAATTTCAACTGTTGGAATTCCCTGTACAATACTTTCTGCTGCTACAGCTTCCTGTGCTGCATCTCCAGCACAAAGAACATCGCAGTCTCTCCGACAGTCATGTCCTTTGTTTCAAAATCTTGCCCTATCCACCCCCCTTTCATCTCTTTCTGGGCTTGGCCGCAGACGGCATTCCTCCTCGCCACCCCCATTTCCTCCACGGTCTCGCTTGTGAACAGACTCCCCGGTTTCCATTGTTCCCATGGTTCCACCTTCGTTGCCAGGGACATGTTCATCTTCTGTTTGCAACACCACTACACCTCTTATTGTGTATCATTGAGGACATGTGCGGCATCGTCACTTGTCCGGGGTTCAGCAGCCTGTTTCTTTGTCTGCCCCAATTCTCTCTGTGCCTACTCCACAGGTTGTTGCAGTTCCTTTGTTCCAAATGACAATATTCTCTCCTATGCCTCCTGTAGACAGTCCAGCTGCCTGAAGGCAGCCACATCACCATGTTTTATGCCCTTCATCGTTAGACATTCATGACTCTCCTGTACAGCAGGATGTGGTCCCTGCCCAGAGTACACTCCCGATTCCTGGGACAGTCCCTTCTCAGGATGCGGGCCCAAACGTTGAGGGATTGGAACACGATCTGCCTGGATTGCAGTTAACCACACAAGGCATAGACCACATGGGGGATCTACAAATGGCTGACCGACATCTTTTGGATGAACCACAAATTTGTGTCCCGCCACGCACAGACCACATGGGTGATCTACAAATGATTGACCAGCAAGCAACCCAAGACATTTTGGGATAACAACACCAACTGGGTGATCTGCAAATTGTTGGCCAGCATCCGACACACGAGCCTGAGATCCTCACCAATCTCTGTGGTCTTCCTGCAACTAATATCTGTCTTCACCTTCTCCACCGCCCGTTTTATACACCATCAGGCTTCTTTGCAATTACCCTTCGGCTT